ACAACAACTAAAATATATAATGAAATACTAATATAATGTAAGGAGTTCTAGAAAATAAGGATAAAAAGCTAACAAAATTGCTAAAATTAAGCTTAACGTTTGGAAAAGAAACATAGGAGATGATATGCTATATAAATTCCATAATGTATACCAACAGCTGCTGTCTGATCTCCCCTAATGTTGAACCTCCCACCCTCCCTCTCTTGCCCTACTCTTACCCTCACCACGTAGCAGTTTCCTACATAGAACTCTGTAAGAATATTGACAGATATGATGTATGATACCATCAATAGCTTTTTAAAAATATAATAATATACGTTACATGTTTTAAAATATAACATCCTTTAATAACTTTGAAAGAGTAATGACGGGCATGAGGGTGGTGATGCTGATGTTGTAGTCTGTAGCAGGTTAAGCATTGCTTTCAAGGCTGGCATCCCATGTTTGAGAGCTGACTGAGTCTCAGCTGTTCTGCTCTGGTCCAGCTTCTGGCTGATATGTCTGGTAAGGCAGCAAACGATGGTCCAAGTATTTGAGCTCCTGACACCCACATGGGAGACCAGGATGGATTTCAGGGCTTCTGGCTTTGGCTTGGCCTGGCCTGGCCCTGAGCATTGTGACCATTTAGGAAGTGAACTAATAGATGAAAGATTTCTCTCTTTGTCTCTGGTTCTTCCTCTCTCTCACTCTTTCAAGTAAATAAATAAATAATCCAATCTTTAAATTAAAAAAAAAAAAATGGAGCATGGTAAAAATTATCCTGTAACACAGCAAGGTGATATTACCCAAATAGGTAATGTGGTCTTGAGTTCAAGGAAAGAACTGAAAGCACATTAAAAAGTCATAACGGTTCTTTCTCTCCCCTGAGCTTGCCCTCACTCGTTCCTGAGTGTGTACTCTCACTTTAAGTAAAACTTCTCTGCTTAGCTTCTCCTTACATCTTGTACTGGAATTCCTTTTCCGGTTAACATCTACTTACTTATTTAAAAGTAAGAAGGAAAAAATGATCCTACATGGGAAGCAGGATACACAGCAGACTCAGAATGGCAAAAGCCCTAAACAGAACTCTGGCCTCAGAATCAGTCCTTAAGGCATTTGGATCTGGCTAAAAAGCCCATGAAAGTTTTACAGGCATGGAAAGCCAAGACACTGTAGCAAAAAAATGACCTAAATGAAAGATCTCTGTGAGTGAGATCCCAGCGGAAAGAACAGGCCATCAAAGAAGGCAATACCTTTCTTTGAGGGAGGAGAGAACTTCCACTTTGAATATGGCCTTGTCTAAATAAGATCAGAGTTTGTGAACTCAAGAGGCTTCCATAGCCTTGGCAGCTCATGACAAGAGCCTAGGGTGATTACTGACGTCATAAACAAGAGTGTCAATTGTTAAATAAACAACGGGAGTCACTGTGCACCTACTCCCCATATAGGACCTCTGTCCTTAATATGTTGTACTATGTGAATTAACGGTATAACTAGTACTCAAACAGTACTCTCTACTTTGTGGGTCTGTGTGGGTGCAGTCTGTTGAAATCTTTACTTAGTATATACTAAATTGATCTTCTGTATATAAAGATAATTGAAAATGAATCATGATGAAGAATGGGATGGGAGAGAGAGTGGAAAATGGGATGGTTGCAGGCGGGTGGGAGGGAGGTTATGGGGGGAAAAGCTGCTATAATTAAAAAGTTGTACTCTGGAAATTTGTATTTATAAATAAAAGTTGAAAAGAAGAAAAAAAAGATAAAGCAGTAGAAGGAGCAAGGTGAGGGGATGGTGGAGAGAAAGAAGGATGTCAATATATTGTTTTATTCCCCCCAAACCCCTAACATCAGTCAGAATTAGGCCAGGCCAAATCCAGGAATCAAAAACACCATCCTGTGTTTCCACACGGGTGGCAGGGGCCCAAGTGCTTAGACCATATTTTACTTTCCCAAGCACATCGGTGGGAAGTTGGTTTTGGAAGCAGCGCAATTGGGACTCAAAGAGGCTGGTGATGCCAGTGTTAGCTTAATCTGCTATGCTAAAACACTGGCCTTGAATTTCTTCTGTTGAGACAAGAGTCTGGACCAACCCCAGGCAGGAGCCGCTCTTCAATGAAACTGATTTCACACCTCAAATCCTAGAACTGAGAAGATAACTTCTGTCTTTAAGCTACCCGGTTTGTGGTAGCTTGCTTCAGTGAACTTAGGAAACAAATAGCTACAACCCTTTAGCAGTAAAGATGCCTAACTTGAACATAGCATGTTAATATTGGGATGCACAACAAATATCTACAAGTTTACCAGTTTGAAACACACACATATATTATCTCACAGTTCTGTGGGTCAGTCACGTGGGGAACTGAAGTGGGATTTTTCACTTAGGGTCTGGTCAGTTTGAATTAAATGGGTCAGCCACAGTAGGATCCTATCTGCAGGCTCTCAAATCCATCTGGGAAGAAAAAGGCACAGCTTCTATTTTCCACCTTTAAAACGACTCATACTCTGTAAATTGTGTCCTTTCAGGCAACCTTTTATTAAAGCTTGGCTATTGAAGGTTTTGTTCTATGACGAGCTGTTGGATCATAGGTATTCTATAAAGCACGCAGATTGAAGATAGATTCACATGCTTTATGACAAGCAGATGGGCTGAATAAAATCTTATGAAACTTGAGGGGCACTTGCCTGGATAAAAATGAATGCACAGTACGCAGTTTATAGGAACGTTTAGTGTTTAGAATCATTTCACATTTACTTTAGGATGCTGTAATAGTAATCTTTAGCTCATGAATAGGATTAAGATCATCTCCAAATTCTATACCATTAATAAAAGGGCAACATGGTCTGACTCTGAAATATTTTAAAGCATATATCACTATAGGGAAACACCAGTAATATTCTTTTTTTTTTTTTTTTGACAGGCAGAGTTAGAGAGAGTGACAGAAAGGTCTTCCTTCCGTTGGTTCACCCCCTAAATGGCCGCCACGGCCAGAACTATGCCAATCTGAAGCCAGGAGCCAGGGACTAGAACCTGGAGTGCCGGCGCCGCAGGAGGAAGATTAGCCTAGTGAGCTGCGGTGCCAGCCAACACCAGTAATATTCTTAGGACATCTTATTTTCTCATTAATCAGTATAAACTACAAAACAAAAATGAATGAATTTGCAGCAAGAAGTAATTTGATGTCAGAAAATTGAATTTTGGAGAATATCTACCAAAGACAATAATTTCTAATTTATAAATATTGATGTCATGTCAGTCTTTCAGATATAATTAGAAATCAAATCCAATTGTCTGCAGAGAACTTTTGCAGATAATCTATCTTAATAAAAATTATTATCAATAAATAGAATGAATCAACTTATTCTGTATTGTAGGTGTGGTTTGCATTTCATTAACATAAAATGGCTCTAAATGATTCTGGTGTAAGTTTAAAAAGGGCTTAGAACATGCTTGTTGATAAATCTAACACTTAGTATGATCTAACATTGTTAGGAGATATATTAAGATTGTAGTATGCACAAGACTCAAAGATGAACTGAATGGGGAATAATTACAAAGAGGAAGCCAAGAACAAATGGAAGGAAGCAAGTGGTTGAATAGGAGCTCACATGGCCAATGCTTGCTTAGATGTAACTACATGTATTTCCAGTGTCTTACCATTTTTTCTTTCTAAAGTACATTGTTTATTGTGAGTCTGGTAATCATAAAGTTTGCTTTTGTCCTTTGAGATTTTTTTGTCTCCATTCCTGAGTGGTAGTTTTGTGGGGAAGCATATTTTTATGTGATCTTTAATTTCTATATTCATTGTTAATACATTATTCTATTTGATTCTCATTGTTGCTGTAGAAAAGTATGCTACTTTCAATTTTGTTGAAAATCTGTTTTTCTACTTACCACTAACATCCTGATAGGGGAGGAAAAATATCTTTCCTCTCCCCATTCCAGATTCATGGCTGAAGCTCTTATAACAAAATAAAAGCATAAGTTCTGGCATTGTGGCATAGTGGATAAAGCTGCTGCGTCCCATGTGGGCACTAGTTCGAATCCTGGCTGTTTTGCTTCTTATCCTGTTCCATGCTGATGACTTGGGAAAAGCAGTGGAACATGGTCCAAGCACTTGGACCCCTGTCACCCAAGTAGAGGGCCTAGATGGTGCTGCTGCCTCCTAGATTTGGCCTGGCTCAGCTCTGGCTATTGCAGCCAGTTAGGGAGTAAATCAGCAGATGGAATGTCGGTCTCTCTGTGTGTGTGTGTGTGTGTGTTTCTCCCTCTTTCTCTATTCCTCTGCCTTTCAAATAAATAAATGTCTTTAAAAACCTCATAAGAATATACATTTCATATGCGTTATAAATGACCTGGGAGTCATCATAAAATGGTGATAACCCAAACGTGCAAACCAGAGTGATTTTCCTAGTAGGTTTGACAAACAGTTAGTTGACAGTTGTGGAAAAATAAGTTAGGGCCAAAAGGATGCAGTCAAATGGTAATGAACTGAAGGAAACTGCACAGCGTTTGTGTCCCTGTATCTTCAGAGGTGAGGATACTGCTTTTCTCCTGTTGGAGGGAGGGAAAACGGCTGCTGCCATTTGTTTGCAAATTCCTTAAGGTTAAAAAATTTTGAGGTAGTACTCTTGAAACCCGTTACTACTATGCCCTTGTTTATGGCAGTAAATCCTGAATTGATGGAGTTGGGGTTGGGGGAGACAGTGAAAGAGATCTTCCATATGCTGATTCACTTCCCAGATGGCTGTAAATGCTAAGATTGGGCCAGAGCAAAGCTAGGAGCCAGAAGCTTCGTTGGAGTCTCCCATGTGGGTGGTAGAGACCAAACACTTGGACCATCTTCTATTGGTTTTCCCAGGACATTAGCAGGGAACTGGATGGGAAGTGGAGTAGCTGGGCACGAATTGCCACCCATATGGGATACTTGCATTGCAGGCTTGCGGCTTTACCTGCTAAGACACAACACCAGCCCTGGTAATTAATTTAATTTTGTAATATCTCAGTCCTGTCCTATTTGAGATTCAGCTACAATTCTGTCCTGGATTTCCCAAGACATCGCTGTACATTTATTTTAAAGTATTCACTTATGTTATTTGAAGTAAATAAGCTTTCTTTTACCTTGCATCAAATTATCCTATGTGACAGCTTCAAACAACATCCACGTCTTAGCCTTCAGTTCTGTAGGTGAGATTACCTGGGTTGTATGCTCATACAAAGCCTTATTTAATTAAGGTGTTGGGAAAACATTATCATTTGGAGCTCAGAATCCTCTTCCAAAGTTACTCCAGTTTCAATTTCTTTTCATTTGTAGGATTTCCTTGCTGATTATAACCTCAGGTCATTCACAGCTCTTAGAAGCTGCCTGTATGCACGCACACATGGCCCTTAGGTCTTCAAAGCTGACACTAGAGGATGTCCGAATGTCAAATCCCTGGGATGCTTCAAGCTTCTAATGGAAGAGGCCAGTTCCTTTTAAGCATTCATCCAACTAAGGCCAACTCATTTTGGATAATCTGGAATTGGGTCATCTAATAAACTAACCACATGAATAAAATCCATCATATTCAAGTGTAAGGGAGTATGTAGGGTGTGCATCCCAGGGAGTAGGGGCCTTGAGTTCCAGCTTAGAATTCTGGATAGGGTTACTGCAGTTATCAGTGAGTTCTAATTAATTAGTTAAGAGAAACTTGTCATGAATGAAATTTATATGGGACCAGTGCTGTGGCATACCCAGTAAAAGCCACCACCTGCAGTGCCAGCATCCCAATCAGGCACCAGTTCATGTCTCGGCTGCTCCACTTATGATCCAGCTCTCTGCTATGGCCTGGGAAAGCAGTGGAAGATGGCCCAAGTCCTTGGGCCCCTGCACTGGCGTGATAGACCTGGAAGAAGCTCCATGCTCCTGGCTTTGGATTGGTGCAACTCCTGCTGTTCCGGACAACTGGGTAGTGAACCAATGGATGGTTCTCTCTCTCTCTCTCTCTCTCTCTGCCTCTCTCTCTGCCACCTTCTCTCTCTTTATGTAACTCTGACTTTCAAATAAATAAATAAATCTTTAAAAAAATTATAGTATGTAAAGATTTGTTTCATGGGAAGCATTTAGTTATTTTAATCTGTTGAATTTTTGAACCCTCTTGAATGTATAGTTACTGTTATGCAAGTGATTTATTTGGTTTAAAATTGGACATTTTGTTGGTAAAAACCCAAATTTAAATAATGAATGGGGAAAAATGGGAGAGTGGAGAATTCATTCTGGAATCTATTTTTCAATTACCAAAAGAGTTCTGCTTCTGCATACATTAAGATTAAGGTCTTTCTCCAGTTGGTTACAGTTTATCTATTTCATCTTTGCCTGGAAAGATCTTAGGCCAAGTGAGGCCCCTGCAGATTTCCTTCCATTCCAAAGTGTTACCAATTTTCCTGCCTCTTAAGGTAATAGATTTTCCTGACTTAACCTTGGCAGGCAGTTGGTTACCTGTTCCCACTGTTGTCTGGAATTGTGATTTGTCTGGGTGCGAATATGGATCTTGACCCTAATTCTATGTTTTTAACCATCTTCCGTGTATAGCCCAGTATCAGATTTCATTCAAGAAAGCAGTTAGTGGGAAGAGTGCCAGGAATCTATCTTTCTTGGAAGCCTATTTCAGGTCACTGAACTATTCTTTGAAGAGGAAACAAAGTATAGGTAATATTTTGTGAGACTGGTAAATGTTTCAAAAATTTTTTTTAAAAGATTTATTTACTTATTTGTAAGAGAGAGAGAGAATGAGCCATGTGCTGGTTCACTCCCTAGATCTCCATACAGGCTAGAGCTGCGTCAATCTGAAGCCAGGCACCAGGAAATTCTTCCAGGTCTCCCACACATATGCAGGGGCCCAAGGACTTGGGCCATCTTCCACTGCTTTCTCAGGCCATAGCAGAGAGCTGGATCGGAAGTGGAGCAGCCGGGTCCTGATCCCGCGCCCATTTGGGATGCTGGCACTGCAGGTGGTGGCTTTACCTGCTATGTCACAGTGCCAGCCCCACCAAAAAAAAAAAAAGCCCACGTGGGTGCAGAGGCCCAGGCACTTGGGCCATCTTCTGCTGCTTTTCCCAGGCGATCAGCAGGGTAGCAAGGAACTGGATTGGAAGTGGAGCAGCCTGTACACTCCAACCAGGAACATATGAGATGCTAGGTTACAGGGACAGCTTTACCCACAATGCCGCAAGGCCAGCCCTGTGTGGTATTCATGGAAGCAGCCTCTTAGACAAAGGGGCTTGAAGTTCTCAGTTCCCGCACCTCGACCCTGAAACTCAGAAAGTTCTCTTTTCCTCACAGAAGGCTTGTTGAGGCTTTCACATACAGAAGTTGCCTTGGAACCAAACCAAAGGGGGCTCACCACATCTGGACTTTGTGTTGTACAAAGGGGAAGGTTCAGAGAGGCTGAACCGTGCAGCAGTCCTGGGCAGTCCCGAAGCGCTTTGGGATACTCATGCTGAGCACAGAAGTCAGCGATCCTACCTTACTCCTGCAGGGAGGGGTTGTCCCCAGCTCTTTCCTTTCTAGCAAAGAGGAAAAGGAATTTGGTGGGGAGGGTAGGGTAGGAAAGAAAGCGGGAGGGGCAGGGAGGTGGCCTGGAGCCAGGGCTGCCGCGGGGTTGGCGCGGGTAGGCGGGGTGGCCACGAGCTGGGAGGCCCCGGGCAGGCAGTCACCCCGTCTCCTCCAGCCCCCGCCCCCGCCGCGGTTGCCTGGACACAGTGCAACGGACCCCAAGGGCCTTGGCCACCGCCGCCACGGAGCCAGAGAGGCGAGGCGCGGGGAGACCCGCGGAGCCGGTGAGTCGGGGGACGCTCATAAGCTCTGCCCCAGGCGCAGCTGGGAGGCGCCCGCTCCTCGGCCGCCAGCCTGCGCTGCTCTCACAGGACGCATCAGGGCGCTGTACCCAGAGCCGCAGGGCCGGGATCGCAGCTCGTTCCTGCTCCTCAGGGCTTGGGGAGGTGGAGGGGCAGGCGCCCTGGCGAGAGTAGCTGGAAGGAGCCCCAGGGCTCAGGGAAGGAGTACAGGTCTCCGCCCGGCGTCTAGAAGTGTATCGCCAGGGCCTCACTGGTGTTTCTGCAGTTATTATTTCCACCTTTTATTTTGCTTCTAAGGCCGCCTTGTGGTGGCTCCTATATAATTCTTTGAAAATGTTGGGTTTCTTCTTTTGACATCTTGTTTTCAAGTATCTGCTTGATCAACTCCAATACGGAACAGCTCCCTGGGCCAGAGGGTGTGGATTTTGAAATTCTTTGCTCTAAAGCATCCTAAATGATACGGTCTGTTCCAGCACTTCCCTTCTACACCTGGGTAGCGTCAGACCCAGGAAACTAAAGATTTCCACTCCCAGTTCAAATAATTTTCTGTTATTTCTCTGTTGACAGTCATGTACTCAACTGATATTTGAGAATAAACTTGGTAGCATCCTTTTCCTACTTCTCCATGTATAATCTGTGTAATTTTTTTTAGAAGATTAATTATTGGAAAGCGGGGTGACAGAGGGATGGAGGGAGCGTTAGCGAGAGGGAGGGCAAGCTCTCATCCTTTGGTTCATTTCCTTCATGGGACTAGTCCTTCAAGGACTAGTATTGTTCCAGGCTGAAGTCAAGAGCCAGGAACTCCATCGCCAGCTCCCACATAGGTGGAAGTGGCTCAAGCACTTGAGTCATTGTCCTTTGTCTTCACAGGCACCTCGGCAGGTGGCTGGCTGGTAAACAGAGCAGCCAGACTCAAACCAGGGCTCCAGTATGCGATGTAGGCATCACAAGCAGTGGCTGAACCCACTGTGCCAGAATGCCAGATCTTGTGTAATTCTTTGAGCGACCTGACCAAAATGTAGCATTCTTGAGTTAACCTCTACCCCCTCCACCAAAACTGTTTCTTGGTTTTACCATGGCAGCAGATTTTTAGGACACCATTTATCAAATTTAAGTACTCAGACAAATGGATGACTACATTGGAAGACACATGTCACAGTCTGTAAACTAAAGGTATTTTAGATGTTTCATTGATGTTGAGGCGAATGCATATCAATCTTGAATATATAATACTTCCATTTTATGATTGTATTATTTAAAATTCTTATCTGAGAGGCAGAGAGAAAGGCAGGAAGTTCCCATCAGCTGGCTCACAACGGCTAATGGCTGGGACAGGCCGAAGCTAGGGATATAGGATCTCAGTCCAATTTTCCTTTGGGAGTGGTAGGGACACAACCACTTAAATCATTGCCTGTTGCCTCCCAAGGTACAAAACATTAACAGGAAGCTGGATTTGGGACCAGCACCCTAACATGGGATGTGAATTTCCCAAGCTGTGGCCTAGCCATTAGACCAAATGCCTGCCCCTGTTGATGTATTCTTAATGTTTTGTTATGAGCCATATCTAATTTCTGGACTGTCAGAAATATGAGTTTGATCATTTGTGTCCCCACCATTCATGAGTGGGGTCCCATTGTGTTGGTAAATGCCAGAGCCCACTTTTTTTTCTTCTGCTCCCACTTTATACTCAACAACCTCAAAGCCAATGAAATTGCTACATCCTCAGAGATCTTCCTGCTTTTCTATTCTCAGTAGCAGTGAATGATATTTGCATACATGGTTTCTTCTTGTTCCCCCTGAGTATGAACTTCACTCTCACACTGATTTATTTCATCGGACTACACCATGATATCCAGGATCTCTGGACTCAGGACTTTCCAAACTTGCACCTAAAAAGAAAATCTAAAACCATGCCGGGGGAGGCATTAAGCTTCTGCCTGGGAAAACTACATCCCATATCAGAGTACTTGGTTCAAGTCCTTTGTCCGCTTCAGATTCCAGCTGCCTGCTAATGTGCACCATGGGAGGCAGCGGGTGATGGCTCAAGTATTTGGGTCTCTGCCACACACGTGGGAGACATGGACAGAGTTCAGGCTCCTGGCTTTAGTCTGGCCAAGCCCTGGCTGTTGTGGGTGTTTGAAGAGCAAACTAGTAAATGAGAGATCTTCCCACTGCCCCCTCACCACAAACACACACCTTCTCTGTCTCTGTATCTTTGTCTCCCTATCTTCCAAAAGAAATTAAAAAGGTAAAAATTGGAAAACATGCTAGATGAATTCTTCCTGTCCCCAACTGGTTCACCTGCCTCTTCCTAGAGCAATCGTTTTTGTGAATGGAGCTACTATGATTGATTGCAATATCAAACTGTGTGGATGGAATGAGAAAACATTTTTTATAAAAAAATACATTTTTTAGAAAAGAAACATGTTTCTGATAAAAAACTAAAAAATAATATTTGTCTACCTAAAGTGTTTCTAGCCATATGGGATGAAGGTTATTGAGATTGTTGGTGGTTAAAATACTAGTTCCTGGAATCTGAACAAAATGGAAAGAAAGATGTGTTATAAGAAGGGAAAACAGAGCAATTATGCAGATGGGATACTTAAAGTAGCTGAAGAATTTGTGGTGTTGAAGCTATGGTTTTTGGCACTGTGTTAAACAGCCTGAAAATCTCCTGCTTTCTTCGCTTAGCAGTCTATTTATTGTTAGTTCATATCGATGAACGCTGTCATCTGACCTCATTTCTAAGTGCTTACAGGATGTTTGTGTGAGCACAGTAGTTAAAAGGTCTTTCTGTATAAACTAAAGGTATTTAACTTACCCTTAGATGCTAGAAAAACTTTGTATGTAAACACAAGTCTGTGAAATGCATGAGAGAGTTGGGCATGTTAAATCCTATGGCAAAGGCACAGGGGTGATGAAATAGTTGAGTAGACAGTGAAATAACACAGCCATGAAGGTATAGCTTGCATAGAAGTCAGTAGTTTGGATATCCCTATACTGATGGTTAGCTAGATGTTTCATGGACAAACTAGACAATTCTTTTTATTATTTTTTTGTATATAAATGAGACTATTAAAATTATTTTTCTTAAAATAAAACATCCTCATGAACTGCTGTGGTTGAGCCTAAAATTCATATTTATGAAAAATTTTTTCAGAGACTGAAAAACCTGAGTTTTTGCCAGTGAAGTTGTGTTTGCCAATGCTAATTATGCACACATTAATCACCTTCAGTGTTTTGTTGCATATGGCACTTAATTCTCTCAGTTTATATAGTCAGAACTGCTTTTTTTTTTTACATACAAAAATATAGTACAGTGCAGAAACAACAGAAGAAAGATATGCGTGGGGAAGGGTCCTCAGAGATTAATGCAAAGGTTGTATCCTCTTGGTCACACAGCTGCTCATAACCTGTACTGGTGTGCTGTGAAGCACCTCAGAAGCAGTAAAGCAAAATCAGCTCATGATAAAGATCCTTTATAGTCAATGAACCCTTCATAGAGGCACACACCAGCCTTGAATTGGAAAGCCCTCCTTCCCCAGAATCCACTGAAATTTGGTACAATTAGAAAATCCAATTATTACTATACAGTGTTGGCAAGCTGATACATCCTTCTCTGAAAAAACTCATGTATCCATGGTCACAAAACATCGTTAATCTTTAGTTAATACATTGCATAGCATTTGCCAAAGTTCAGTAGCTTGGAGATAAACTGTGACCAAACCAAACCAGCTATGATGAACCTATTATATGCACAGCCTATGGTCACAGCAGCTTTTAAACTAAGTGCTCAAATCTTTTCCACATTAAAGTAGCAAAGATATAAGCATCTTCTGCCTCTACATCTCACTTCATGACTAGCCCTTTCCATTCCATATCTACTCAACTTCTGCAAAGAGTGGGCTCAGCATTCTTTTCTTCTCCATTTATTTAATTTTGGACTTTTTGATAAATAAGTTCTACTGCATTTGGAGTGGGCAGTTAACCTAGCAGTTAAGACCCCTGTATCCTGCCAATAGAAATCCTGGGGAAAAGCATCTATGGCTCTTGGGTTCCTGCCACATGGCTTCAGCCTGGCCCAGCTCTAGCAGTCCTGGGCACTTGAGGAGTAAGCTAGCAGATGGGAGCATGCACTCTCATTAAAGAAAAAATCAGTTTAAGATACCTGTTGCTGTAATTTATGGGAAATGTTGGTGTTAAACCTCATCCATAGCCATTTGCCAGATTAAATGGGTCATTTGTTGTAGTCTCTGACTGTTTCTTCCTTAAAACCATTTTCTCTTCTTTTGTTACCCTATTCATTTCTAGGTTTTCTACAATTTCTCTAGGAATTGTTAATGTTAGTTTTTCTTAACTGATATTGTGGTGTAGGGGGCAGAGCTGCCACCTGTGGTGCTGGCATCCCATATAGGTGCCGGTTCATGTCCTGGCTGCTCCACTTCTGATCCAGCTCCCTGCTAATATGCCTGGGAAAAGCAGTGTAAGGTGGCCCAAGTGCTTTTGCCTCTGCCACCCACCCATATGGGACACCAAGCAAAGCTCCTGGCTTTGACCTGGCCTCATCCCTGGCCATTGAGGCCATCTGGAGAGTGATCCAGCAGGTGAGAAATATTTCTCTCTCTCCCTCTCTCTGCAACTCTTTCAAATAATAAAATAATTCTTAAAAAAGAGTAAATTTAATATGGCTAGAATGTATGGTATAGGAAAGTTTAGCTTTAGAAAATAGGCCCCCAATTTTCTTTGTGTATTTAACTCTTAAGTAGAATAAAGTACAGCTGGTTTATTTGCTTATTTTCCTGCTCCATTAATCATCATTTCTAACTAAAAATTTGGAGATATTTTGTCTTATGTACTTTTCTGCTCAGGAACTATTTTTGAACACCTAACATTTGCCATGTATTATAAATTCAAAGAGGATTACAACACACAGTTTCTGCATTCCACAATGCAGTAGGAAACTAACACCTGATGATGGAATTTGATTTGTGAAGTAC